TAAATATGATCTTCACAATTTTATCTAAACCACACAAATAATCTTCACAATTTTATCATATATATATATATATATATATATATATATATATATATATATATATATATATATATATATATATATATATATATATATATATATATACACTAGCTGTATGTCATTGCTTCACTATGACGTAAAATAAATTGAAAGTAGTACTGTGAAGAAATTAGAAAAAAACACACAATGTAGGTCGACAAAACAAAACAATTTATCACTCTAAACAAAAAAAACAAAACAAAATGTACACACAATACAACCAAAAACAATTAACGCAACATAATCTGTTTTGTAATCCTTGTAAAAAAACAATTTGACATAATGATTTCTAGAATATTAATTAAGACAAGCGAACTAGGGGAAATTATCACTCTCTTAATATTACTATGTATACTTCTAGAAATTTAATTTAAGATTTCAATACAGATCAATAATTACTTTAGCGTGTAATATAATAGTTTAACACTATTCGAGTTTACAAAAATATGTTGTCTACAATCAAAATTAAATATATTGTCATCATAAATGCTAAAATATTACAGCGTAAAAATAATGAAAGTTTTTAAAAACATAATTGGTATAAAATCAAATTTTTTAATTGTTAGAGATATTCTATCTATCTACATGGTAGAACATTCTGGAATAGAACATTCTACAATTTTTATCTAAACCAAACAAATGATCTTAACAATTTTATCTAAAAGACACAAATGATCTTTACTATTTTATCTTACAAAGGTATTTCTTATTATTTCCATCTAGTCACAAAGATTCTTTAAATTCGTAGCGAGCAGCCTATCTTCTTAGATTTAAAGAGCAATCATATCTTAGCATTTCTTTCTAGAAAAAAAAATGATCTTCACAGTAAATATCTTTATCTTTATAGCTATCTGAAATTATCTTCACTATTTCCTATAGCACTAATGATTTCCATAATTTTACCCCGCCCCCCCCCCCCCAAAAAAAAAAAACAAAAAAAAAAAACAACCTTTAAAAACCTAATTCAAACGATACAAGATTTCTTCATAATACCTCATTTACAAAATTGTCTTAAACATTCAGCCAACAATCTTCATAGCTGTAGCTATCAGAATTTATCTCTACATTTCCACTATCACTAATGATACCGGTACATCTAACGAACCAGAGTTTCTTTCCGGCATCTCTTCGGGGGAGGTGGGGGGTATTGGGGGTCCATCCCGGACGATATGAAAAAAAATGTACAAAGAAAATGTGTTCTTTAATCAGTGTCCTTACCCTCCTCGGAAATATTAAGCCCCCCCCCTCCCCACCTCGCCAAAAAATGCTTGAAAGAAACCTTGAAGCAGACACAGATGTAACAATACCCCATCTAGCAGAACAAAAGTATAGACTCTCCCTAACCCAACTGATATTCCAGAGTACAGACAGCAAGGAGAAATCTCCGTGTAGAAGATCTCTGTCTAGCAGATACAATCAAGTATGATGTTAATTAGAGGACAGAGATTAGCCGACACGTCGGTTCTTCAACCCACAGCATCCTCAAGTTCTAGTTGTAATAGAGTTAACCTCTCGCCTTCTTACATCACTTCCGGTGGTAAACAGGATGCGGAAATTGATTGTCAAAAAATAAAACGTGTATTTTACTTAGGTTTATCTCGAGAATGTGGGAAAAATGGAGGGGATAGCGGGGTAGGGGGCGGGGAAAAAAAGCTGACGTCATCGTGTTGCACCATATCTCACCCATAAAAACATAAACGGTTAAAGTGATGTTTTACAACAGAGTTGCACGTTAGTGCACTTTAAAATGTGTATGCCTTGGGTTGGGGAGGGGGAGTCGGGGGAGGCAGGGTGTATTTCTGATATTTTTTCTCGGAGGGCGGGGGGGGGGGGGGGGGGGTTAATACTTCTGGTGGGGGGGGGGCTATCAATAATTGTGTTTATTGTTAAAAAATAATTCAGATAAGTTTCATTTTGTTGTACAATAAACAATTGACTTATTTATGATAGCTATTTACGAGTAAAAGACAATGTATTTTTAATCTGAGTCAGAACAAAACTACAATGTCCTTTATGAGTTATACAAAATATAGTGTGAAATAATTTTTGTTTCGTGTATTTGTTAAATAAGACGAATCAAACACACTTCTTTCTTGTTCTTCGTTCTTAATTTTTAGCGTTGGAAGTGATCGAGCCTTAGAAGTCATCCATAAATGAAGTCACACTCGTAGGGGGAGGGGGGGTCCGTAATTTTGTGACGATGTGTGATGAGGGGGAGGGGGGGTTCAGATGTTGCGACGTCACATTTTTGCATTATAAAAAAGCAATGTTAGAAAACGAATTTTAGACGTTATTTCGCATTTTAGATAACTGTTTTAATAAATTGTAATAGTTTAGACAAGATTTTAGAAAAATATCGATGTTTAAAAAAAATTCAACTGCAATTTTGAGGGGGGGGGGGGGGTTTGTAGGTTGAGGCGTGACATCATTTTAGGGGGGGGGTCTGGCTTTTTGTGACGACGTATGACGGTGGGGAAGGGGGGAGGTAAAAATCGACAAAAAAGCGTGACGTCATTTATGGATGACCCCTTATCTGCCAGAGGGTTAGAACTCGAGACTTTACCAAACACACTGATTACGTTTACAAATAGCTTTTGGGCTGTTATACGAATTCTGGCAGGGTAAATGGATAATTCAACATTGAAGTTGAAGAGGGGTTGGAATAACATGTGTCTACACTACTAGAACATTAACGTTGCAAGCCTACTGGTATTTTTTACTCGAAGCAAATTAATGTTAGTTGTGTTGGGATGATGGTCAGGGCAGTAGAGAAATTTTGTATTAAAAGAAATACAAAATTAATATTTTTAACGGGTACACTAGTAGACACTGGTCTTTTTTTCCCACTATCTGTTATAGCATAAAACAAATGAAAAAAAAAACTACCAAACATAACATGAGTACTGCTGAGGATTCAAGAAGTACGGGCTTCTAGTGTTGCTGTTGTGCCAGCTTTGTTAAATGTCGCTTAAAATATCTGAATCAGCATTGAAATAACTAATTTTATAAAGTATTTGAGTTAAATTCCTGCGTTGTCGCTTGCATGAGACATGCAATTTTCGTGTATGCAGTCAGATATTCGTTCTTACAATAAAATTAAATACTGTCTTGTACAAAATTAACATGACTAAATGAGAAACATTTATCAATGAAACATTTCAAATATTTGTTTTTTTTGTAGGTTATCTTTTTTTTAAACACAGAGTAATTTCCCATGTAAATGTTTTGTTTTTAGTACTAAGTTAACAACATACGGCAAGATATAATAAAATACGGGACTTGAAAAACCAAATGGGGTGATAAAAATAGAACAAGTGCCTGATGACTAACCGGAGGTTGAATTAAATATGAAATAAGCTAATGGGACGTTTTGATGCGCTCATTAGCCAGCAGGAAACAGAATCCCGCCTAAAGGACCGCGTCACCAAATGCCGCGGAAAGGTGGCATGCATAGTTGATTGTGTGGGCATGACACGCGGTTAGGCGACCTGCAGACGATCAAATGTCACAAGGCTGCAGTCGCCCGGCCAAGATGGCACAAGGGGAGTCAGCCCGCAGTCAGCTCCGTGACTCCTGCTCCTGTCAGCTTTGACATTACCAGGCGTCATTGCGTCACTTCTACCCTTTCCTTGCCAATCCGGCAACACCCAGTTTGGCATATAGATGCGACTCAGCGTCGCACTACGACTTCCTGGCACACTGCACATCAAACAGATCCCGTCTGATAATAAAAACAATTGGAAAATTAGCGCTTGCTATTTTTTAAAGCATTACCGTAGTTTAGATCGCAGTTTTTTTTTGTGGTTTTTAAAAAAAAAAAAATCTTAATTAGCATTATCAAATCCCACAAAGACATACTTATTATTACATTCTAAATAAAAATACAGAGATTCTGATTAAAGCATTTCATAAAATTATTCATGGATACCTATTCTGCGATATTTTTTTTATAACAAGCTTTTATACTGGTGTTAAACAGCTGAATTAGAGGTCAATATTTGTTTAACAAATAAAATATATAATAACTGGTTTATGGTAGGCCAGTTTGTTGAGTTCTAAATAAGGAGAAATAGAAAGATGATTATCTATTCATTTCCACAGCCTGACAAATGTGAGGTAATCCACATCTCATCCAATCCACCACAGATAAATGTGCTTAACTAAATAGTGAGTGGCTTTATTCAGACCAATACATTTCTCTTAACATTGTAAAGTTCCCTTTTCAAACCATGGGGCAAGTGAAGTAAAGTCCACCTGTTTCTGTGACCTCTGCATATGAAGGGATAGTGTGGTGAGCTCGGCCGCCTTTACTTTCCGTAATGTGAGTTGGGTACCCATCGGAGCTGGGTGGACTCAGGGACGTTCTAGTGACTGGAACCCGGATTCGAACTTGGTAAATTCGGGGTAGCAGTCTAGCGTCCTACCACTAGGCCACACCTTCCACTATTGTTTAATTAACAATTTCATTCTTTTAGCCAATGTTAGTACTTATAAAAAATTTCCATGTTTTCACATTTAAAATATCTATTACTGCCCAGTTACTGATTCTTGCATTAATGTTATTGAAGATGAAGCATGTATAAAACATTTGGCATACAAAGTGCTTGGTCAACTCACCAAAGCTCCCAACATACTGTTTTCTCAAATACAAGTCAACATACATTGTCATGTTGGATGATGTGTATAATGTGAAGGTATTAAATTCTTCAGTAAATTAAGGTCCACTATTTTGTTTTAAATTAAAACACTTGATAAACTAGAACTAGAAATGGTTATCTTATATATGGAATGAAAATTGGTGTAGGTATAATTATGCACAGTATAAATAAAACTATTTTAGATTTTCAATCAATGTAATGACAGAGAATATTTAAAACCAAATCAATATTTAATAAGGACAAAAAATAAAGTAACTTAATAAAACATGACATTTTCTAGACTATAACATTTAGTCAACAATCTGCTATACACTTTTCTTTAAGTTAAAAAAAAATAGGAGCAGAAAAATCAACTTTTCTAGAAAAACCGATGCAAGGGAGGTAATTCATTTTTTTACAGTCACAAACAAGAAGGAGGATTATAATTTTTAAAAGTTCAATTTCAAAAGTTATACTTTTTCTTCATTAAAACAACAATCATTAAATATAAAGCCAGCATCTATTAACAAAATATTTGTGAGTAATGTACAGGTTTTATACATAAATTATGAGATATAAATCTAGAAAACATACAAGCAGCCAGTGCACATGGCAGCTTAGTGTGTGACATAGCCATAGTATAAAATTAATGTCACAAGAATATATCGCCTTACTCCTATTCCTTTAAAAACTTTAAAAACCTTAAAAAATTTACAATTATATTTCTTGATCAACCACATCTAAACCAGTTAACCTTATCTGAAAATTATTTGCTCATTAATGTAAATTTAATTATGCACAGTTTGTTACTTATAACTGTCAAATTTACCTAATGTACACTTAATAATGTTATTGTTTGCAGTTCAATGTCATTTTTATCACAATTAAAAAACAGGCATTTCTGTTAAATTAATTTAACAGTATCAAAATACCATTTGAAACATGTGTCAAAAGAAAAAGTTTCATGAATAGCTAGTCAAGATTAGCTTCTAAACATCCTTTTAAATATATTGATGTTGTTAAACAAAAAGAAAAACTGAATAGGACACATCAAGATTTACCTGAAATAAATCTTAACTTGAAAGTAAAAGGAGAGAGAAAGTAACTGATAGTTATTAATTGGAATAGAACTTAACAATTGTTGGAATTTTGAAAAAATTGTGTACAACAACTTAATTGCAGAAAGCATACTTTCCATTAGTGAAAATACAATAAGAAAATCAAAAGTTAGTTCTTATTCACCACATTTTCTTCAGTTAAAATTACAGTGTCATCATAATCAACAAATAATTTGTTGTGAAAGCTCAGAAGCTGTAGCCCAAACAGTAAGTAATGCACGTGAAGTTGAAATCTTGAAAAAACTATCAATAACTTAAAAGTTTAATTAAACTTTTTCATAGCGATAAAACAATTAAATTAAAATTATCATCTAATGACTTTCTAAGACCGGTATAGCCATGTCATGATAATCTTTTTTTTTAAATTAATAAATATTAAGAAAATTACAAAAACAGAATCATTATTCATAAAATAATGAGAATATTGTTCTTCAAAATAAGGGGGATAATCCTGTAAATATAGCAGGCTAAGCAAAAATAAAAGTAAGCAGAAATGAACTTGGAGAAAAAAGCAGTTATCTTTGATTTCATTGTGACCTGTATTTTGAATCTTTTAAATCAGAAGAGGAATGGCTGCAGTATATTGCACACTTATAAATGTCTCTTCACAACAGTATGACTATTCCTTCTCTGGACTTGTGGGGGATCCTGCATTTGTTATTGTAACCAGAGGAGGGTCCTGCGAGTGGTGCCGGGACTCTGGTGAACTGGCATCTTTTGACATGAGAGACTGACGAGCTGACTCTATGGGTATGAGGTAATCATCACTGCTATCATCAACTTCATCTTCTTCTTCATCAGAGATTAGATTAAATACACTACTACAAGCTGAAAATAAACAAATTAGAAAAATTAATTTTAAAAATCAAAATGTATTTTGCACAAGAAAGATAAATACATCAATAAAAGCATCAATAAAAAAACAAAATAAACAAATAAAAAAGAATTAAGAAATAAAAGGTGAAAAACCTGAAAAGGCTTCAGGGTATGTTTTTTCCAGTCTCTGCTTAAGCAACCTGCAAGCAGAAAAAATTCACATTTTTTAAGCTGTTTTTTTTTAAAAATATATTTTGGTTTACACTGGGACCACACACAAATTTGTCATTTTTGAGAAAAGAAGACAGGACAACTTCAAGTGTTTTAAATGTTTACATAATTATTATAGGGAGATCATTTCACATAATGGAATTTTTGTACAAAAAACTTCAATTTTATAAGGCTAAAATAATAAAAATAAAAAATATAAATAAACTTAGAAAAGACCAAGTTGGAACATACCTGATACGTTTAAATACAGTATCTAAATCTTTTTTCATTTCTGACAACAGCTGAGTATGTTTGTGGAAGTCTTTTAATGTTGCCTCATAGCGACCAGAAGATAAAATATTGAAATTGATCAACATCTCATTCGTCTTTTCAAAGCGGGAGAGCCTATAGAACAAATTTAAGTGTAAACATTACTTCTGTGATCATCAACAGGAAACTATAACCTTTTATCTATTTAACTCTAATTGCTAGGTTAGGAATAGCTAGTGTTGGATTTTTGGAAATCGTGAAAAAAACCTTGAATTTGATTTTGCTGCTATGGATCATAAAATATGAAAAATAACAAAGCAAGAATATATTATTCTTGATTCTGTATCATTTAATAATCTGTGCATAAATATGAACAGTAGAAAATGAATACCTAAATTACATATTCAATTTTGCAATAAAAATGAAAATTTAAAAATAAATAATTCTGGATGTTTCAATTTATTTCTTTATAATTTTTTCATAAGACGCAAATTTTACTAACATATCTCTTTGAATAAAAACCATTGATGTTATGTCTTCTCGATTAACTTGTTCCATTAGGGAGGAAGCAAAAACTGTGGCTTCATCACGACCAGAGTGTAAGGTTCCACTGTGTTCATCTTTGACCACACTTGTCATTCTCAATAACTGAAACAAGTAGTTTAAAGTAAAGTGTTAGATTTTTATTAACTATATTAATTCTGACAGCAAAAAGTTGTGTTGATACTTAAAGTAGCTCAATCATCAAATGGAGCCAAAAAAGTTCCAAAGTTGATGTTCATTAAGTTAACTGGTAAGGTTTTCACATGAGTTAGTGACCAATATGAACTAAATTCAATATGGCTTACAAATTTACAGGAACACACTTATTAGAAAATCACTTAAAATAATTTAAACAAGACATTATACCCCCCCCCCCCCCCCAAAAAAAAACAAAAAAAAAACAACAACAACATGTTATTAGGCAATCCCATTACTATGATTAGGCCTTAGGCTTAGGCTAAAGATTAACATTGATTTAACCTAATGTTTTATTTATTTCATTTCAGCTTAAATTTCACATTTAACAGTTAGGCCTTCAAGACCTATATCTGCAAAGTATGACTACAGTACAATTAAAGTAATTAAAGTGATCAATTAGGCTTAAAACTTAAATACATTTTAATAAATTGTTGTTTGTGGGTGGGGGTACAATGATGCAATATGCAAAACAGGGAAACAGAAAATATAAGGCATTATTTGGAGAATTACATATATTCCCTATTTAGCAAGACATTAAGATAAGCCACATGACGAACACACAGCAATTTTACTCAATTTATTCAACTATTTGTAGTTGTATATTATTATGATAAATTAAAATCAGATAAATAATCAAATTTATTATGACAATTTTTTTTTCTTCTTCAGTTAGGCATTTGCACTTAAGAAATGAGTAGGAGCCTTGTTGGCCTGCTAGTCTCGCTGTAGCTAATAACTAATCTAGTAGCTAGACTAGAAACTAGTTCAGTCTAGAGCTAGACTAGAGTAGTCTAGATACTAGAATAGATAGTTCTAATTTAGTAGTGAGTAGTGAGACGTCAGTGAGAGGTGAGGGTAAAACTCCATTTTAGTGTATTTTATTCGCTGCTTCTCGTATACTTCCGGTTAAGTGTATTTTATTATAAACACAACCCAAACTCACAAAACTATTTAGAAAACACTAGGATTAAACCTAGATCTACTTATGTTTTTAGGAAAAGGTAAAAAAGATTTTGTTTCTCTCTGTCTGCGTTTCTGTAGCGATAGTTGTTTTACGAGATAAGGTTGCTGATCTTATGCTCAACCCCCAACCTGGAGGACCAGGGTGCTAGCTTTCGTCTGACCCCTACCCGCGCAGACCTTCCCAGCTTGGTTGAACCTGCCAGGAGTTAACACTCCCGCTGGTATAGCTCTGGGGGTCGTCAGGGTACGCAAGCTGCCAAGCCACGACAAGGCCCTAGCACCAGATGACAGATCTTCAACACACTAGTAAAACCTGTTTTACTCTATGGAGCCGAGACATGGAGAATAACTGCTATAAATAAGAAGAAAATACAATCATTTATAAACGCATGTCTCAGAAAGATCCTGCGAATTCGCTGGCCTAAAACCATCAGAAATGATGTTCTATGGCAACGGACAAATCAACTGCCAGTGGAAGTAGAGATCCTCCAGAGAAAATGGAAATGGATTGGCCACACACTCAGGAAGCCTGTATCCAGCATAACAAGACAGGCCCTCACCTGGAATCCACAAGGCAGGAGGAAGAGAGGCAGACCAAGAAAGACCTGGAGACGTGACCTGGAACTGGAAGAAGACACCAAGAAGATTGGATACACTTGGGGACAGTTGGAGAGACTAGCCCTGGACAGAGACGTCTGGAAAGCTCTTGTCAGCGGCCTATGTCCCAGTAGGGACGACAGGCAAACATGAACATGAAAAAAGATTTTAAAAAAGCATTACAGTTCCAATTAAATAGCGTGTGATCGTCGGCGTGAGAAAAATCCCTAGACGGTCGAGGGTTCACCATGAGTTCATATTGACTTTAATTATCTGCATACGTCATAGCTTGGGCAATTGCTATTTGAAATTGTGGTGGCCTCAGTGTTGGGGTCATTGTGAGTTCATATATGTTTATTTATAGTTTATAGTATCATGCGTGAGAGATGCTTTTTACAATACAAACTTAAATGCCTAGCAATTATGAGTTTGGTAGTTTACCCATCGCCATGGAAACTTTAACTGACACGAACATATTTTCAAGAGTAAAAAAAAAACGAAATAGTGCACATTCAATAATTCCAAATTTGGATTTTTCTCAAGTTTTGACAAAAGTAAATTAGGCCTATCTAAAACTAAAACTCATAAAGCAATTGAAGTGACTACTCGGAAGAAAATAAATTTTTCTCACCGACGTCTCCACTTAGTCGGCAAAAGATAGCTCTGCGCATGTGCAGTGACCTATGGCTAGAGTTAGATTTAGGGTTAGGACTAGGGTTAGGGTTAGGATTAGGGATAGGGTTGGTGTTAGGTTCTGCGGTTGTAAACACACGCATGCACAGTACCATCGAAAACATCGCTGCGATGGCAAGTCGTAGTTTCTCTCAATTGCGCATGCGTATCTTTTTCCGGCTAGCATTGGCCAAAAGAAATCTAGGCTTAGACTTAGAGTTTTCCTAACGTTTTTGTATGTTTCGGTTGTGTTGATAATAAAATATGCTAAACTGAAGGTGAACGTGAAGCGGGGAAAAAAATACGCTTAAGAAAGGCTAAATATACCATATAGGCCTACAAAATTAAATAAAAATTGGAGTTTACTGTTTTACCGAGAGGTGGGCACCCTCCTGGTTAATTTGATAACTGAGTCTAGAGTCTAGTTACTAAAGTTAGTCTTAAGTCTAGTAAATAATAGTAATTTAACATAAATTATGCCCAATAAATTACTTATACTTCTTAGTTAAGTCCAAATAATCGATTCTACAGAGTAGGTGTAGATCTAGACTCTAGAATATGTTGTCCTAGTCATAAAACTAGTGTTAGTAGATGTCCTTTTACTTTTAATTTTGTTTTTGTTTACAATTTTATGCAGGGTCTGGCAGCAAGGCCAGATTTTTTGTTAGATACAGTTTATATTATTATTTTGGGTAACAAAAGCGATTCGATCTAGGTATTTAGAATCACTAGCATCAGTGGCGTAGCGGGGTCGGGTGTCACCCGGTGCGGCACTAAATGGTGTCACCCCCCCAGAGGCGTTGCGACCCTTCCCGGGAACAAACTTTCATGTTTTCGATTTGCACCCCCCCCCTCAAACTTTCGATTTGCACCCCCCCCCCCCTCAAGTTTTTTATTTGCACCCCCCTCAAACTTTCAATTTGCACCCCCCTCAAGTTTTTCTCTATATATTTTGCCTTGGTGTCACCCCCCTAAATGGTGTCACCCGGTGCGGTCCGCACCCCCCGCCCCCCTCGCTACGCCCCTGACTAGCATTGATAATTACCAGTAAATTTGTTAAAGTTCTTTATATTTATGATACATATTAAGATATATGTATACATAGATCTATATATAATCATCAAATGAATTATTTCCAAATTTACAAATCCCTCTCTTTTGTTAAATTAATTTATGAATTCTAATTAGGTAGGCTTACATTAACAAAAATAAAAGACAATAGAAACTAAATTATAAAATATGTCATGTAGGCCTAGGTAAATATGTTATTCCGAAAAGTAAGTTAAACCTAATTAAAACTTGATTGATTAGTCTAACTGAAAACTGAAAACATTACAATAACTAGATCTGAATGTTGATGAAATATTATTTTTAGCCTATTTGGCATTTCTTTAAAAGTTGCATGTTCGTCCATTATTAAACTTAACAGAAAAGAGTTCCTTTTAATGTTGACTTGCTAAACAGCGAGTCGGGTTTTCAGAAATAAAAACAATCCAAAATGGTAAATGTTGATTTAATCGTCTTAACTTTAAATTATAATAAAATGAATATCACCCATGATGCGTTTGTTAAAAGTGAACCGAGATTCCCCTTAGGCCAGGGCCCTTAAATTACCCTCAATGAAACCTAAAAAAAAAAAAAACGAACAGAGCAGTCGGCATTCACTCAGGACTCAGTTTTCAGTCAAGAGTCACTGTCACTCAGTCACAGCCCCCCAGTAGCTGTAGAAACAGCTGTAGTACAGTGAGTGACTGTACATTGTACAATAACAATGGATCCATCATAGAGTTGATAGGAATTATTTCATCATTTTTGACATTGATAAAAAATAGTTAGGCCTAGTCACACTCTAGTGTTAGTTAGTAGTAGTAGTAGGCCTATTATTTTATTTTTTTACATTTTGCCATCAAAGCGGCCATAAACAAAAAACTAATGACATCAAACCTGAAAATAATTTAGAAATAGCCTATAGGCCTAATATTTTTAGAATCAATGTTATAGGCCTAATAGTTTCAAGTTCAAATTTATTCAAAAAACGGTTACAATTGTAGGCACAAAGGCCTTTTTTCATATTGGCCGTTTAAACAAATAAAACAATTCAATAACACATAGCAAATTTGAAAACACTTTTCAAATCCGGAGAACTAAAAAATAATGTGTTTAGTTTAAAAGTTTAAGGCTTTATTTCTATTTATTTTCATCAAGCCAAAGTTAATTTGTAAGGCCTATAAAACCCGAAGTTTGACAAACATCTTTACAGGAACTTTTAACTTTGTGATCAATATTCTGAAAACCCCACTTCATAGAAATTTTTCTCAAAACTTTGCCAATAAAACTTTTGGATTATTGAAGATGCCGATGTTCGATAATAGACCCTTCCAAAAATAGGTGTGTTTGGTTGTTAGTAGTATTGTAATCTCAACTAGCTTTATATTTAGAAATTAGGGTTAGGCGAATGGTAGGGCTATCATGGTTAACAGTAACATTGACCTTACGATTATCAAGCCTGTATTGTCTGTATTTTAGTGAACTGCCAGTGTCCTGAAACCCCTTTTTAAAGAACATTCTATTATCAGACACTGGTATAAAAAGATCCCCCGGTTGGGTCCATTATTGTACAACTGTAAATGTTAAATATTTAGGCCTATATAGTTTACAACAGTTCAAATTTTGTTCATTTGGTCTTTGCCCAGAATCTAGATTTCTGTATAGTTCTAGATGGCTAGGGCCTGGGATAATATTGTTAATGTGTAGTAAAGCACATTGCTTTTGACCAATAACTATTTTATAAATTTTTTTTCTCAAACAAGGATGACATTGAAATATATGGGTCTATAATTCACGTGTAACGAGTACCTACGGCTAGTTTAATAATGGTACCCAAATCAGCCACATGAAATCAAATGTGACAGACTTCTTCAGTTGATGTTGTTTAACCGTCAAATAAAAATCCCTTCTAAGGCTATAAAACATGTGAGCTAACAAATTTCCCCCTCCCTACTGATGCTAGCAAACCTGCCCACTGGGGCAGCATAAAAGCTTCTATTGTCTTGTTTTAAGTTGTCTGTCTTTTTTAACTGTTCATCTTTTTGTCCTCACTCTGTGGTGCACGCTCGGCTAATATTTCCCAAAAATTACACATGGAACTTTGCACCTTGCATGGGCAAAATCTTTATCTGGCCTATAATTTTCAGGTTTAGTGATAATAGTGTTACAGTGGCACTCACATATTAATTAAGGAAGAGATAAAATGTAAATTTAGATTCTATGATTAGTTTTTAGAACAATATACTGTATTTTTTTATCTTTGCTCTAGAAAAGTACACCTCCCTGTTAACCAAATATAAAGTGTAATCCTAAGATCGTAACATATGGTGTATAAATAATTAATCTGTTAATTAAATGTGTGTTTCACTATATTAAATTTTTTGTTTCCTTTTAGCCTCAAAATGAATATATTGAATTACATACCAAGCGCCATGGAAGGAGATTTGACTATGAAGAGAGAAAGTAAGTATCACCTGAGTTGGCATAATTGTTGTTTCATCATAATAGCTGCTGTACTGTAATTATGTTTTATGGATCACAGCATAAAATTTTTTAACAATGATTATCTTTAATTAGGAGAAAGAGGGAAGGCCGCAAGCCTCATGAAATGGCAGAAAAGGCCAAGAAACTTAGGGGCATCAAGGCCAAATTGTACAACAAAAAGAGGCATTCAGAAAAAATACAGATGAAAAAGACGTAAGTATTATTTAAAATTAAATTGTGAAGTTAAGCCTTTGCTGTAAGTGTAGCTCATTTAATTTTCACAATCACATATTTGATTAGTGATGGCTAATTAGTATGAAATTTGCAGAATCAAAATGCATGAGGAAAGGAAAACCAAACAGAAGTCAACAGACAATGATTCTAAATATGGTAATCCAACATATCTCTTGGAACGTGAGAATCAGATTCGTGCCAAAATCCTCTCCAATACCATCAAACAGAAGCGCAAAGAAAAAGCGGTACTAATTTTTATTTACAGTATTCTTTTTTTATTTATTGAAGTACATATATTTAGCATAATACTCTAATATACCTGCATTTACCTTAGTAAAATTGATTAATGAATTTAGTGATCTTAATTATGTCCTTGTTAGTAACACTTTTCATGGTCTCCTATTATCACTTATTAAAAAAAGGGCAAGTGGGATGTTCCAATACCCAAAGTTAGGGGAGTTTCAGAAGCAGAGGTGTTTAAAGTTGTCAAAACTGGAAAGACAAAAAGTGAGTTGAGTGTATTTTACTTTTACTGAATGTATTTGTGTTGTTTATAAACTGAAAGACTGTACAATGCTAAAACTTATCAGTGTTTAAATATTTCTGTAGATGTTTTATGTGATCTGCATAATAACACTTTTTTATTGATTTAAAAACTAAATGAAATAGTAATTATAAAGAATTTTAAATAGTGTTTTTTGACATTTTAAGTGGTCACTTCCATAGGGTATGGACAAGTGGCCCAAATGGATTTTGTGTGCTCTATCTAATCAATACAAAAACTATTTCCTTTGCTTTCATATTAATGTTTTTACGATACCATTATGGTTGGATTTTTCAAGATAGTTTGTAATTTGACCATTTTCAGGGAAAGCTTGGAAAAGAATGGTCACTAAAGTCACATATGTCGGTGAGGGATTTACAAGAAAGCCTGTCAAATTTGAGAGATTTATAAGACCTATGGTATGTTTTCAAAAACTGATTTGTTTCTTTTGCATAGTATTTTTATATAACATTTACTAGGTTATACATCATATTGAATATGAGATGTTTTAAAATTTAGTTTTTGTATAACCAATTTAGCATAGGTATTGAAGGATTTATTTTTTATACTTTCTAGGCTCTCCGTTTTAAAAAAGCCAATGTGACACATCCAGAGTTGAAGGCCTCATTTTTCCTTCCAATTATTGGTGTGAAGAAGAATCCCAGCTCTGCCATGTATACAAGTCTTGGTGTTATAACTAAAGGAACAGTTATTGAGGTAGGTTCATGTATTTGTCAGATTTTTGTTTGATCAAACTTCTAAAATGTTATTAATTTATTCCATCATAAATCATTCTGTAATTTCATGTTTTTATTCACCTTAATTTGCTAGTTCACCATTAAGAAAAATCAACTGCTATAGATTATTTATTTACTTGACATCTCTTTTCTAGGTTAACATAAGTGAACTGGGTCTTGTTACAAATGCTGGAAAAGTTGTGTGGGGTAAGAAAACCAGCTGTTTGAAACTATCTTGTAGGAGTGCATATTTATCAGTTACAATTATTTTTTTTTACAATTTAAAAGAATGTGAGATTATAAATGAACTTCTGTATAATGTATGTTTAAAATATTTCAGGTAAATATGCACAAGTCACAAATAATCCAGAAAATGACGGTTGCATAAATGCTGTCTTGCTGGTTTGAATGTGTATTCTTTGGGGGATGGGTCATGTTCAAATAAAATTATTACCACATTTTTGTCTCCTTTTTATTTATTAAGTTTTTATTGTGTGCATGTGGATTCTGGTCAGGAATCATTGTTGTCATTATATTTTGTTTACCTACGCAAACCTGTTCAGACTTGACAACTATGATCTGCCTTTTGGTTGCTCAAATCTTACTCCCTCAGAGTTTGCTGAGTGTAGTGTTAATAAAAACTGTAGAATCTTTGAGGTACACACTCTTTTTGGCATTTCTTTTGCTTCTGTCTATAAACAGCTGGGCTAAATTTGTGTTAATTAGCATCTAGGTGATGTCGTTTGTTCAGAACCATAATACTATAGTTAAGTTTTTTTTTTTAAAGAAATTCAGACATTCACATAAATAAATGTTGAATGCTTGACTTTGTAAGGCAGTTAAAGTGGTTCTAAACTACAGTATACATTCAAAGTCCTGATTTGTGCATCGAAAACCTTCCATTAGCTCTTGGAAAATGCAAGGAAGTTTTAAAAATAAAATACCAAAAAAAGTTGTTAAAGTGCTTATTTGGTTCTAAAATAAATTACCCTGTTTTTTTAAAAAAAATAGCTGGTACAATATCTACTTGTGTAACATTCCTGCTTCTATCTTTAAACAGCTGGGCTACATTTGTGTTAATTTAATAAACATCTAAGGTTCTTCGTTCTTAATTTTAGTGTTAGAAGGGATCCCTTCCAACACAATTAAGGATACATATCAACTGGTTATGTGCTATTGAGTTAATTGAGGCTCTTGACTCTGATTTCAGCCAGCTTTTCTTTTTGGATTTGCTTCCATTGCATTTGTCCAACCAAGAACAAACTACAAGGCAACAGTTGTTTGTTTTTGGAGTTGTCTCTCCTAGAAGTAGTAGAAGAGTGGCTGTCCCCAACTAACGAGCCTCATCTACCCGAGGGTTTAAACTCGAAGATTTTCGGTTTAACAACCATGAGCTTTACCGATTCAATTACGCCGACCACTATCTAAGATTCCAAGTGATGTCATTTGTTCAGAAACATAAAACCATACTGTTAACATTTGGTAAAAATAATAAGAGTTGGCACAATACCTAAATCAGAGTGTGGAAATACACAAACACATTTTAGTACTAAATTCTCTGGAATTTTTGTTAATAAATGCTTCTCAGAGTGACAATTAAAAGTTCACTTAATCACTAGCACCCTATAGCATCTCAATGGCAGCAGCCAGTGTTTTCTTTGTGTAATTGTGACCTTGCACTGGTATTATGTTTGTAAAAATCAATTGAATAGACTGCATTTACAAAATTAAAATGTGGTTTGGTAATTTTGCAGTATTTAAGTAGTTCTGATGCTCTAATTTTGGGTGATTAAATTGCAGGATCACACCCTCCCCAATTTTAATGCTATTAAAACAGTTTTTTGTTTTATATCCAATTAAACAGCCTTTGAAAGTATAGTGAACAAAAAATTTCCTGCTCTTGAAAATTATTTTGCATGAACCCAGTACATTATTTGAGTTGAAAGTGATTCAGAATTTTATTTGTAAAGTTTTAATTTTTTTCCCTCCTTTTGGCTATGTAACTTTAACAAAGCGTTGTTGAAAATAAAAACCTACAAAAACTGAAGGTTTGCATCTATTACAGGCAAGATGTCAAATTGTACACTAAGAGGATGTCATGTATTTATTTTGATAATGTGTACTAAGGATATGCCAAAATAGCTATCTACATAGCCTTAGTATTTTCAATGTTAGGCCTCTCCATAAATACATTTTCAATTGTTCGTTTAAAAAAAATTGCACAAAAATTTGATATTTTACATACTTTTGTATTGATGAATATTTTAAAAAAAAATTGACATATAACTAATGGTAAATTAATTAACTTAAAATTTTGAAACTGTCACTAGATATCTTCTTCTTACATAACATAAACAAGGTACAATCATCACATTTTGATTCATAGAGTCACAAAATTATCACAGAATTTATATCACAGTAGATGGAACAACAGGACTTGTTATTTCTAACAGCCTTAAATAATTTTAAGGAGCCACATTTGAGCTTATAAATTTGATTCTTTGACTTGTCCACTCAGCTTCTTCTGTGAACAAGTGTTTTTTGTAGAATTCTAGCAAACTCTCATAGCGCTTTAGGACATCAAAACCAACAAGGGCATGAAGTTTATGCAGATCAACTGGGCACAGCATCATTGGCTGACTGAAGTCTTCTGCTAAATGACCTAAATAATATAACTCAAATTATTTAATAATATGAACCATAATTAAACAAAATACATTTCAAAACAGGTCTATATTCTTCTTTGTCGTTGGATGGAATTTCCTCCAACACTTGTGTCAACTTGTTATGTGCCAAATAGGCAGTTTACTTAGATTTCAGCCTGCTTTTTTTTGGATTTGCTTCCATGACCTTTGTCCTTCCAAGAACAAACTACAAGGCAGCATTTGATTAATTTGAGAGTTTTCTCTCCTAGATGAGATGCCATCCCCAACTATCAAGCGTCATTACCAACCACACCCACCCTATATAATATCTAATGCTATGCTTAAAGTCAAGTCATAAATCTGGTGGATATATTAAAAAAATGTGATAATCATAACTAATCCACTCAGTGCATAAGAAATAATATTTACCATCTGTACATAAAAACGTACCTGATCCATTCATACAGCAACGGAAATAGATACAATGATCTAGGCCAAGTAAATGGCAAAGTTCATGAACTACCAGTTTGCAACTTCTTTGTAAAATCAACCTGTGGCGTTCTTCTTGTTTTATTTTCTTGTTTGTTTTGATGTCATACCTGATGATAAATCAAATGGTACATGTAAAAAGACAGTAGGTGATAATTTGGCTACTATAAAATACTCAAATCCTACTGAGAGATTTAAAGAAAACCTGTTCAATTTGATGTAATTATAAGACCTCTTGTTTGCTTTCATAAACTTATTTGTTCCATTTCCAGACAAATCACTCCTGAACTTTCTCCAACTGTCCCCAATAACTGTTCTCCAGTTGGAAATACATTTCTCCTAATAAATGTTTTAACAGTATTTCTACTTTTATAGCATTTCAATGTTTTTTGTACAGAAGGCCCTTTGTTAATCCTCCCAGCATAGTTAAAGTGGGTAAATAAGTTCTGTACACATTTTTAAACTTTTAATTTTATTAGAGCTTACCAAAATTCTTTAGAGAAGGTCAGAGCAGGATCATAACGCAACAGGCTAAATATAGCAACACGTCTGTTACCAGAGGCCATGCCAGCCACAAACAAATCAGATTCATCACCATACAAGTCATAGGGTGTAAGTCCAATCAGGCACAAAGCATCATCTGGCATTATCAAGTGCATTCTGGGTAAAATTGAATCCACGTTTATTTGAACATGCTTTGACACTGAATTAAACCTGAGAAAGTAAAGTAACTCACTGTAAAGAGGTATAATTTTAATTATTTTTTTGCTCAAATGCTATGATTATGAACATCATATAAGTATAAAAACCAATGGACTTAGTCACAAAAAAACCCACCTTGTAGTAAGAGTGGACTTTTTAACTCTAGCTGATTGGCGTTTTGATGGATTATGACTTGGGTCCTCAGTTAAGATTAAATCTGAACCTTTTTTCTCTATGTCTAGTCCTTCAAACACTTCTACTGGTAGGCCTAAATATCTTTGCACATAGTCAATTAAATCACTAAACATTATGTCTTTGCTATTGAAAGCGCCAATTTTTGCAATGTAAATTTTTCCATTTGGGTACTTCTGAGATATAGTTTTACCTTTAGGGTTAAAGCTTTGCCTCATGAACTTTAATTTCCTATTAGAGAACCATGGATTTTCATCTAGATATTTGCTGTGAAAAGTTTTTTAAAAAGTTAAAATATTGGTAGTTATCCAGAATAAATAATTTAAAAAACTTATTTTTACTAAAAAAAAGTTGGACAGTAGGCCTACTGCATTTAAAATCAAGATCTAAATGAATCTTAGATATAATTATAAGACAACAGTGTATACAAGATCTAACATATAAGTTAACAATCATTGAACACATAGAAATAATTAAAAGAAGCAGTGAATGCCAGGCAGTTCTTTACAGTAACACACCTGAAGCTCTGCCCTTCCTCAGCATACTGAGCTAGCCAGTCATCTATTGAAGAAGGAGCAGGTATAGCTGAGAAATATGTAGGTGTTTCTTTGGTGTCAGAATACACTAGAGGCAGTCTGTCAGGCTTGAATCCTATGGCTTTCAAAGCATCTTCTTGTGATGGTGGTCTGTAGCCTTTAGCATAAGGAACATGCAACTTCCTTTTGGTTGTAACTTTTGTTCTCTTTAAACCTTCCTTAGGCATGGCTGTGTAGTGAATAAATTTCAAGCCATTAAGGAACAGGTTAGAAAAAAACATGATATAGCCCTTAATTAGTAGCTGGCTATAACAAAAAAAAATTAGTAAGCTTGATGACTGATTTAATGATATCAAACTAAAAATAAAATAGGCCAATTAAAAAAAAATATTAAAATATAATTTTTGAATATTAAACACAACTCAAACAATAATTGCCGATAAATTGAAAAAATAAAATAACATACCATACTCCCCCCAACCACCTCTCCCCCCCCCCCACATATAGCTTCATTTATTTTACAGTTACAATTTCTAACTCCATTTAACTATAATATTAATAAGCTATTAATAATTTTACACTTTTAAAGTAAAGTATACACACATATATAGGCCTACATATAATATTATATAGCCTATAGGTTATTTATCTCTATATATCTATATACAGGGGCATATATATTTTATATATATATATATATAATATATATATATATATATATATATATATATATATATATATATATATATATATATATATATATATATATATATATATATATATATTCTCTTCGCTGGCAAGTTTATGAGGTTACATACTACATAGATTTTATACTTATTTATATTATTATAATTAATAATTATAAAAATATGCAGACTCATTTTAATTGTATTAAGTAGGAAGGTGGACATAGTCGTCATAAGACCAGTAACTCCTTTCTGTCAGAAAATAAAATCAATAAGCCTAAGCCTTCAAAATATGTCACTAGGCAGATGTAGAATCTCTGCTTGTGCTACTTTTCTCCACTTTGGTATGCTAATATTAAAATTAATGATGTATTAATATAGGGCAATATAGATTTATTTGGTAAAATGGTGCGCAACAAAAATTATGTCGCAAATAGACTATTTATAGAGTTCACTCCCTTGTAAATCTATCTAGAACTTGGATCTAGTAAAGGCAAAGGTCTTGATCTAGAGAAGAAATCTATATTTTAATGAACATAATGTATCCGCATTTTTATTTAGGTCTACATAATAGACACAACCAACAGTAATGCCCTTATTTAGCCTAATTAATTATTTGGCCTACACGTTTTTGGCATTACATAACCGTTGAGGGTAAAATGCGAGACGCGGAATGCAAAATTGGAAACGGTTAAAAATTAAATCGTAAAAATGCGAGAAGAAAACGCGAGCCATACCTGGGGGTAAAGTAAAAAAGTAAATAGCGAGACAATTTTGTGGTTATTTATGAGATTCTGAAAAATGTCTAATCAAATCGTGAACTGAACAAGTACCCACGAGTGATGTTATTACTTTTCGTTATCAAATCGTCACTGAGTGTCTCGAAATATCGTAAATTATTATCGACACTGTCAAATTCTATTTTTATCTTGCTGACCTCATTCTTAGGATCTTTCAAATTTTGAACTGTCGTAGTCCTACTTTTGCTGAGCCAAGTAAGAAACAATTTAAAAATAAAAATTATTATATGAATTAAAAAGTGATTTAAATCAGCAAAAAATCAATAAATAAAAATCATAACAATTAGGCTAGGCTCATGGTTGCTAAACCGAAAAGTCTCGAGTTCGAACCCTCGGGCAGATGAGGCTCGATAGCTGGGGACAGCCACTCTTCTAGGAGAGACGACTCCAAAATCAAACAACTGCTGTCTTGTAGTTTGTTCTTGGTTGGACAAAGGCTATGGAAGCAAATCCATAAAGAAATGCAGGCTGAAATCGGAGTCAATGGCCTCAATGGCGCATAACCAGTTGACACGTAATCCTTAATTGTGATGGAAGCATGGTCGAGTCGGCAAAGCTCATGGTTGATAAATTTGAAAAAAAGTCTCGAGTTCAAACCCTCTGGCAGATAAGGCTCGATCCCTCCCAACACTAAAAATTAAGAACGAAGAAGAAGATGGCTAGGCCTAGTTACTCAAATGTGTTTAGCCTTTAGATTTCTCTACAATTAGAATCTACAACTAAACAGATCATACTTCGAAATACCCCAAATTCACACACTAGACCTAAATTACATCCAATTTGGGCCTAGTGGCGTAGCTAGGATTTTCGGGCCCCTAAGCAAAAATTATTATAGGGCCCCTACGTCTATCTGTAAATTGATGTATTTTATACGTCCTAATTGTGCATTTATACGGTATTATTATGTAGCACCCCATAACGTAAAATACCTTTGATTTTGTATCACTTTTATGTAAAACAAACTAACAAATGAACTGTAAGTCTGTAAAATTTAAGTAACCTAACACGGGGCAGGGGCCTCACAATTTAGGCGTGACACCATGACGAAAACTCTAAAATGTACCGTGAAAACTGTTTTATTCAGTTAAAATAATAAGATATCAAGGAGAAGGGGTAACACTCCACCGGAGATGCAAAATTGCTGGATGGGGTGAGGGTGACACTCACTAAACGCACCGGGAGATATTGAACCTTGTGACGCTACTAACAAAATACACATTTTTAAATGTTGCTCATGATTTATTTAGATTTGTTTTTTCTTTCTTATAAGTTTTCAAAATGATTAAAATGTTCCTTGAAGTGCACTTGAGCTGCTGCTGTATGTTCTATACTCGTGATGGCCAAGTTACTGACCCAAAGGGCATATCTAAAACTTTGTTCATAACCTCGTCATAATGGAGAGACTCGAGGCGCCCAAGCATATACTACTGCCGAGGCGGCTGGAGAACACCCCTTATTTTCTTTAGCCATTGACTATAGTAGCCCTCCGTATCCCAATGGCATGGCGCTTATTAAAATAAGTGTATGCACTGTAGTGCTCATGGGGGGGAGACCGTGGCGCCGGCTGATTCACCTGTGCAGTTTGGCCGTCGAATTCAGCAGTAACCCTGAATTCAGAAATTACCTGTCCCCAGGTGCTAAGAAAGCCGCTGGGAAACTCTGGGTGGCAAACTGAACCGCCCTACTGTCAATGAGCCGCTCTACGAAAGAAAATAAATAAATTTAATAACAGAAGTCAGAGTTTTGTTTCTGGCTTCTCTACGAGGGTGAGGCGCTGCACCTCTTGTGCGGGGTTGTGGTAGGAAATTTCACGGTCAGTAGAGGTTTGACTGAATTATTCTAAACAACTTCCCAATGTTTCTTGGCGATTGGAGCGTTTTTGTATTAACGCATAAAGGACAAGGAGACAGACCAACAAAAATCTTTAAGTAGCGGCATATTGATTGGAGATAAATACGATCAACAAACAAATTCTGATTAAGGTTAAAACTAACAGAAAAACATTGACAAATTTTCGGTGAGGACAGAGAGTTGAGAGGGAAGGGGGTACAGGTTTGTGGCGGTGGGGTAGAGAATTTTTAGAGATGCGTATAAATTTGCGGGTGCGGGTGCCAATCTAACAAAAGAGTCTAATTCTTTCAACAGCTTGCCCGACAATGCAACAATGCGTATAATGTTATTAATACCGATGGCCCTGTACAATCCCTCCCCAGTAAGAAAGTGTAATATAGTGAGACTTGTGAAGTCAAGGGAACTCACTCTTCTGTATTAGTATTATATTTATATTGTTATCTTGAGTGATGTCCCTTACATGTTTATGTATATAAGTGTCTCGTGACTTCCGCCCTCTCTCTCTTTCCTCATGGTGTGAATAAACTACTGTTAACAATCAATGTGGCTTCTCGTCAGTGATTCCAATCCATCACATTGGCGACGAGGATGGGATAATCCACTAGAAAGAGCACCTACTTACGCAAAAAAGAGGTTTGCTAGAGCATATTGGCTAAGTATTTCTAGAATAATGGCGCTGTATGGCCAAATAAAAGAATTTGATTCGAATGATGAAATCATTCATGATTACCTAGATAGGTTAAGCTTTTACCTTGAAGCAAACAACGTGACGATAGAAGCCAAAAAGAGAGCTGTTTTGTTAACAGTCATAGGGCCTCAACAATTTAGGCTACTAAAGGACTTATGCGCACCAGCTAGTCTAACTACCAAGAGCTTTAACGAGCTGAGCAAATTGCTAACAGACCACCATGCGCCTACCCCATCAAAGTTTCTATGTCGAGCTAGATTTGACAGTAGGACTCGTCAACCAAAAGAGTCAATATTAGAATATGTTGCTGCTTTACGTCATCTAAGTAAATTTTGTGAATTCGGAGACACGCTGTCTGACAGACTATGTGAAAAGTTTGTGACAGGTGTAAACAGCCCTGATGTTCAAAGAAAGTTGCTGCTCGAGTCAGATCTCACATTAGAAAAAGCAATACAACTAGCAACTTCATTCCAGCAGTCATCCGAGGCGGCGAAATCTCTAACGCCTTCAGAGATCCATGCAGTAAACAGCAGGTTAGTCAACAAACACCAACCCCATCAGAGCATTCCAACTTATGCTAAACAGCCTGCACGTTTAAAGCCTAGATCTAAATCTAGTAATAATTATCAAAAATGTCATCGATGCAAAGGTCCCCATGCATCTCATCGATGCAAGTTCAAGTCAGCAACTTGTTATAAGTGCAGTAAGCAAGGTCACATTGCCAAGGCCTGCTTTGCAAAGTCTTCGTCTGTTGCTAAATCTAGCCAGTCAAGACAGTACCGCAACCAAAGGCAGCACTATGTTAACTCTCACCAAGACTACCTAACCCAACCAATGAACCACTCTACCTGTGAAAATGCTCAAACTGATTCGCAGCCGGATTTCAACCTGTTCTCTGTGAAATCAATAAGTCATGCTCCCATCAATGTACTAGTTAATATCAACGGTAAGAGCATCAGCTTCCAACTTGACACTGGAGCATCTCTAACAGTCATCACAAAGAAGGACTTTAACGCTGTCACAGGAGGATCAGTGCCTCTACAGCCATATCACAAGTGCCTAACAACATACACTGGTGACAATGTTCCGGTAATAGGAGAGTGTATGGTTCATGTAAGTTATAATGGTCAAAGTGTTAAACTTCCTCTTCTTGTGGTTGAAGGAAATGGACCACCATTACTAGGTAGGAACTGGTTAAGTGATCTTAAGTTAAATTGGGAGAGTATATGTTCATTGAACAATGCAAGAGAATCTAGTCTTACTTCAATAGATAAAGTAATATCTGAAAATAAATGTGTTTTTGGTAATCCTGGATTACTAAATGATAGAACAGTGAAGATAAGCATTAAAGACACAAATCCAAGATACTGCAAAGCTAGAGTTCCACCTTATGCAATGAGGAATAAAATTGAAAATGAGCTAAGTAGATTGGAATCTAATGGCATCATAAAGAAGGTAGACTATTCCGATTGGGCAACGCCCATTGTGCCAGTGTTAAAGAAGGATGGTTCTATAAGAATTTGTGGAGACTATAAAACTACACTGAATAAGCAAATAGAGCTAAATAGGTACCCTATTCCTAACATTGAGGAAATTTCTTTGAATTTGGCAGGAGGAGACAAACTCACTGAATTAGACTTTAGTCATGCTTACACTCAACTAGAACTGCATCCAGATTCAAAAGTCTATACGACAATAAACACACATAAAGGACTCTACCAATATGAAAGACTATGTTTTGGCATATCATCTAGCCCTGGAATTTTCCAAGCTGTCATGGACAGTATTTTTAAGGATATTCCAAATGTTTGTGTTTACTTTGACAATGTGTACATAACTGGTAAGAATGACACTGAACATCTTAAAACACTTGATAAAGTATTGAAAGTAGTTGGTGAAAAAGGTTTAAAGATAAACAAAGATAAATGTCAATTCATGTTGACAGAAATTAGTTTTCTTGGTTATATATTGAGCAAACAAGGCATCAGACCTCAACCTGAGAAAACAAAAGCCATTAAAGAAGCACCCAAACCTAAAAATACCCAACAACTAAGAGCTTTTTTGGGCTTGATAAATTACTATGCAAAGTTCAAAGGGAATCTGTCTGGTAAACTATCACCACTGTACAAGCTGCTACAGAAAAATGCAACTTGGCACTGGGGTAAACAACAAGATACTGCTTTTAATACAGCAAAAGAGGCTTTGTCTTCTGACACCTTACTAACTCACTATGACCCAGGGAAAAGACTTATATTAACATGTGATGCTTCACCAGATGGTGTAGGAGCAGTCTTGTCCCACATGGATGAGAAGGGTGACAGACCCATTGCTTTTGCCAGTAGATCTTTGAACCAGGCTTAGAAAAATTATTCTCAGTTAGATGGGGAAGGCTTAGGCATCATTTTTGGTGTTAAGAAATTTCATAAGTTTCTGTTTGGTAGGAAGTTCACCATCTTTACAGATCATAAACCATTGCTAGGTTTATTTGGAGAAAACAAAACCCTACCTGAGCATGCCTCACCAAGAATTCAAAGATGGGCTATCACACTAGCTGCATACAATTATGAATTGAACTACAAACCTGGATCTGATAATAGTGCAGATAGTCTTAGTAGATTACCTTTAAAAAACCAAAGCCTTAGCTATGTACCAGAAGATGTATTTGTTCTCTTCACTATCATGGATAACTCCAATATAAATGTGAATGATGTTAATGTGAATGATGTTAAAAGAGAAACACAAAAAGATGAGTGCTTAATAAAAGTATATGAGTACTGTAAGAATGGTTGGCCTGAAGAGTCTGTGAATGATGACTTAAGGCCATATAAAATAAGAAATAAAAACCTTTGTGAAGATAATATAAAAGATGGAGAAGATGCAGTCCATTATCAGTCAGAGTTGCCTAAACAAAGTATTTGTAACTTAACAAATGATTATGGTGATATGGCAATTTCAAATGCTTTAAGTAAGAAGGAATGTGATCATCAAACAACCTTGCTAACATCATTAGCACTTACAGAAACTAAAAGGGTAACATCAAAAGAAAAGAAAAAAGATTTTTGCCATTTAATACACCCATTTCAAATACTGGATCACAGTTGCAAAGTGATATGGTCCAGAATATTACTCATAAACAGTATTTTTGGTTACCAGGAAAGCACTATCAGATTACCTGAGAAAATTGATCAATCAAAGAAATCTATGTCAATTAAGGATCTGAATAATAGCATAATACTTTCAGATGCCAATTCAAAAATAGTTCCATTAAATCATGACAAACATTCATTGAAAGAGAATTTGGTGTTAATGAGAATGTGTATCTAAGAAATTATGGGAGAAAGGAAAAATGGATACCAGGTCAAATTGTTCAATGTACAGGACCTGTGTCTTATAAAGTAAAAACAAATGATGGACTTATTGTCCGTAGACATGCAGACCAGTTAAAAATAACTTGTGCAGATAATAAGTGTGAATCTATCAATCCCACCAAATCTGAACAGTTCACACCAACTCAGTTTGTTCCACAACCAAGTTCTGTTGATATGAGTGAACCAAGTAGTCTGGAGTCAGAAAATGTAAATTCTGGAGTTAATGACTTAAATCCTAGACCTCCTGAGATAGAGAATCCAAATGGTCAGAATATTGAGTCACCAAATCAAAAGCCACTGAGAAGGTCAAACAGGACAATCAAAGTCCCAAATAAGTTAGACCTATGATTTTAAAGGTCAAAAGGACTTTGACATCATTGTTTTGTATTTTAATTATGTTGTAACATATTGTGCATTGTTTGTAAGGATGTAATCTACCATAGTGTTCATGTTACAATATAATTTCTCATTGGTGATTTTAGGATACTGTAAATTGTTCTATTGAGAGATGTGTTGTGTTTACTAAGGGTAAAGGGATGTAATATAGTGAGACTTGTGAAGTCAAGGGAACTCACTCTTCTGTATTAGTATTATATTTATATTGTTATCTTGAGTGATGTCCCTTACATGTTTATGTATATAAGTGTCTCGTGACTTCCGCCCTCTCTCTCTTTCCTCATGGTGTGAATAAACTACTGTTAACAATCAATGTGGCTTCTCGTCAGTGATTCCAATCCATCACAGAAAGGTGTGAGGGCCTTTTTGTAACTTTTGATTACTTCTACACTAGAAAAGAAACTGGATTTCCGTTTTCTTTTTTAAATTATTTTTCATAATACAAATATTAAAATTCCAATGTAAAAGTTTTTAAACAATTAAAGAGGGAAAAGGGCCCCTATGCCTTGTTTACGCTAGCTTTACGGTAGCTACGCCAATGTTTGGGCCTAATTAAATGTTGTTAAAATAGAACTAGATTCTACTTGAGTTGAGCTGTGTGTAGTATTTCAATCGTTGTCCAGATATTTAAATGCAGTTGCTATTTATATTTGCTGATTGTCAACAACACATTTTTGTGTGTTTAGTTCAGGAAATCACTGGTTAACTAAGAAAATTCCAAACAATTCAAGTTTGAGTGTTAACTTCTACTACCAAGATAAACTAAAAATAAACCTTGTTCTGTTTTTCTATGTCTTTATTTAAAGTTTTCCATGACAGACCGCTACTTGGTTATCTGAAATCTTCCTGTGAACGTATAACAAAAGCCCTGCAATATTGACACTCAAGGCAGCGACCATTATAACTATCCACAGCACAGACAGCAAGCAGCACAAACACTGTCATCACTGCCAGTGGCGTAGCGAGGTCGGGTGTCACCCGGTGCGGCACTTAATGGTGTCACCCCCCCCCCCCCCCGAGGCGCAGCGACCCTTCCCGGGGACAAACTTTCAAATTTTCGATTTGCACCCCCCCCCTCAAACTTTCGATTTGCACCCCCCTCAAGTTTTTCTCCATATATATTGTGCTATTTTTTGCCTTAGTGTCACCCCCCTAAATGGTGTCACCCGGTGCGGTCCGCACCCCCGCCCCCCCCCCCTCGCTACGCCTCTGATCACTGCAATCATCAATTTAGAAGTATGTACTGTAAGATAGCTAAAATTTAAACGTGAAAGTAAATGTTACAGTGTTGAAATGATAGTTGTCAGTTCAATATACTGTTACCTTATCAGCTAGATTTCTTAAAAAGACACAGGTTATTAGCTAAAACTGCAGCAATATTACCATAATAATAATAATATATAATTTATAAATGCTCCTGCGAGTGTGACGTCATTTATGGACGACCCCTCCTAATAGGCCTGCGTATGTCTCACATGTAATAGAACTAGTTGCATTATGATTTACAAAATGTTGCTGTGTTTACTTGTAAATAATTGAATGCATATTCTAATACTTACGTTTTATCATTTTAAGTAATACAAGTGGTCAATAACATGAATATGCAAAATGGTGGATCAATCGAAAACGATTAGATTAAAGATTAAATCAACACTAACCTTAGAAGTACCTATTATCGATACTTCTCAGGAGCGACACACTGTGTACAATTATGTACAACGTGTTTTGCAAAAAGTCACAAAGGATAAATGCAATTCTGAATTGCTATTTACTCATTATTAGAAAGAAGCGTCTTATTTGAATAACATACAATACAGAAACCATCTAGACTAAAATTAAATGATTGTTTTAAATTTTCAAATATAGACAAGAAAATGAGGTAAAACGGTAGCTTGAATTCCATTTTCAACTTTAAAATTATAAAGCAATTAAAACCGAAACTGTGCTTAAATTTAAGAAAAGAAGTAGGCCTTGTAGATTACAAATAATGCATAATAATATACACATTCGCATTTTTACTTTGAAAAAAATTAGGTCAAATGTCATATATATATATATATATATATATATATATATATATATATATATATATATATATATATATATATATATATATATATATATATATATATATATATATATATATATATATATATATCGTAAAGTGGTCAGAAGAATATCAATGTTTATCTTGTGCGACATCTAAACCCCGTCATCACATGACCTCTTGACCTGGGCTTTCATCATACGATACAGCGCCCCACGACTCGCCATCAACTGCTCGTGTGTGCCCAACTCCTGGATCACGCCTTTCTTTAACACCGCGATGCGATCTGCGTTTCTGATGGTGCTCAGCCTGTGAGCTATGGTGATGCACGTGCGACCTTCCCTGGCCTTGTCTAACGCTTCCAGCACCACCTGGTTAAATTTGTCATTGGATTTGGACATTATTAAAACGGCAATGTTTAAAAACTTACTCCAATATTTACATTTAAAATACTACCATTTTGGTTAGAACAAGTTCCGTTCGAGTGTATTAACGAGAAACTAACATTCCTTCACAGATATACCTTACCACCATTCAGGGGTGTACTTTCATACCTACAAGCAGGGCCGGCGCTACCTATAAGGCGAACTAGGCGGTCGCCTAGGGCGCTGTCCGTAGGGGGCGACAAAATGCACGACTAGTTCACGTAAGTTTTTGTATGAAAGAGAGTACTCACCCTCTCACTCTCAGTATCCAAAGCTGACGTGGCCTCGTCTAGCAGAAGAATCTTTGGATTTCTCAGCAGAGTTCTCGCGATTGCTACCCTTTGTTTTTGTCCTCCACTTAGTTGCGTCCCCTTATTCCCCACATTTGTTCCGTAGCCCTGAAGTTAAGATTCAAACATTATAAAAGACTTGTATGAATGTTCTATTTACAATTGTTAATATTTAGTTTTAGTTTTGGTATACAAATACTTCACTACCTATGTCAGTGTACACATTACCAAGTCATAATATAGGATTTAGATCTTCTCTTATGGTTATTGAATGTGATAGCTTTATCAGGCATCATAATATATTACCTGTAACATGAATACCTAGACTTACCGGGGGTGAAAGTGATGGCAGAGAGAGTGTATAAACTCACCGAGGGCAGAGATTGTATAAACTCACCGAGGGCAGAGACTGTATAAAATCACTGAGGGCAGAGACTTATAAACTCACCGAGGGGAGAACCTTATAAACTCACAGAGGGCAGAGACTGTATAAACTCACCCAGGGCAGACTGTATAAACTTACCCAGGGCAGAGGCTATAAACTCACAGAGGGCAGAGGCTATAAACTCACCGAGGGCAGAGACTGTATAAACTCACCGAGGGCAGAGACTGTATAAACTCACTGAGGGCAGAGACTGTATAAAATCACCGAGGGCAGAGACTGTATAAACTCACCGTGGGCAGATACTGTATAAACTCACTGAGGGCAGAGACTGTATAAACTCACCCAGGGCAGAGACTGTATAAACGTGTGTATGTTAGCTGTCCGAGCTGCCTCTATGATCTCCTCCATGCCCACCTCCCTCGTGTTGTCCCCGTAAGCGATGTTCTCAGCCAGACTTCTGTCGAACAGGACTGGTTCTTGTGACACCAGGCCGATTTGCATACGCAGCCATTGAACGTTAAGGTCAAGGATGTTGTGATTATCAAAAAGCTGAAATTTCAATTAACCCCACTTTTACTGAACATTTTAAACATTTTTGCTTTAATTAATATTCAAGTTTAAATTTTTAAATGGTTTTCTTTTTTTGACAAGATAATTTTCATTGATTAGATCAATTTGAAGGTTAATTATATACATGAAGACCAATGTATAATCTTCTAAACTAAATGGGGACTCCTACAGTCAGAATAATCGGAAAATCCTTTTTTTTCAACATCGTTGAACGTTGAGTGTTACTTTATTTAGAATTCAGTTCTCTATCCATCAGTATGTCAAATTTGACTAGAGCTTCGTATACTACGGTATAGAGAGTATAGACGAATCGTTGTAATCGTGCACAAAAATAAAATGAACTTTTGACAGCTTTTGCCTTTTTGTACTTCATTATTTTATCTTATACGGAATATAAAAGATGTATTGTAATCGCGCAAAAATTGGAAATCGAGATTTTGACTAATTTTAACATTTTATAAACTTCCCGAACGGAAAAACTGGGGTTTGCAATTTGGACCCTGTCTTTCTGCCTGTAAACACCTTAACTTGAGTACCTTATCAGTTAGGTTGGCGAAACTTCAAATATAAGTATTTTATCAAATTTTTAGTTCTGTATCAATTTTTTATTTTGAGCTATTTCCTGTAACTGGTTGCTGAAAAGCCTATTAAAAGAGCACCGATTACGTTACGTTAGACGAAATTACGCACATACATTCTCTTCCTTATGATTCTCAACTATCTGTCACTACCTTTATGCCTGAATATATATATATATATATATATATATATATATATATATATATATATATATATATATATATATATGATTTTCACTTATCTGTTTGTTTTTTCAGGTTTGATTATAGTCCTTTTGAGTGTTATGTCAGTCTTTTTTTCTAATTTGTTTTATAAATTTTGGTTTGTTATTTTAACGTTAATAAAATTTATAAGTATTTGATAACCTTGTGTTTTTTGTTTGGGCTAAGGTTAACTACTGACCAGCTGTCGGTTTCGCCATGGTTGCACTGACGCCCGATTATTTTAGTAGTCCTATGTATTAAATTAGGTGCCCCATGACAGGGCTTAGAAAAATACCAGCAAACCTTTGACATTACTTACAATACTGCCTTCCTGTGCGTCATAAAATCGTTCTATAAGTTGCACTATGGTGCTCTTTCCACATCCGCTTCCTCCTACCAATGCCAGCGTTTGACCGGGAAGAACTTCTAGGTCAAGGCCATTTAATACCTGAACTTCTTTTCGCATAGGATAATGGAATCGTATACCATTGAACTTAATGGAACTTTTAAACGAATCCTGTCAAAAGAAAATATTGAAAATAGATTTAAAAAAAAAACATGGGATATTGTAAACAAAAAAAGGAGAAAATAAATATTGCAATGAATATCATTCAGTTCATTAATAAAAACGGTTAGAGATTTAGGGGCCCCCAAAAAAAAACAAAAACAAAAAAACAACCTTATTTTTTTGTATTCCAAAATTATTGTTATTGTGCACATTGATATAGTGGTTTTGAAATAAGGGATTAGAATAAAACCAACAAAGAAAAAACAACATAGGAATTAAACCAACAAGGAAACCATTCCACAAATCAATCTCCAGTGTTTGGACAGGCTTGCCAAATATGAATAAACGTTTTTTTACAATTTTCGGCGGGCATGACATGAGATACAAATATTTTAAAAACTCGATGGGGCTTTTCCCAGTTTGCCGCTGCAAAGCACATCCAAACCCCCTATGACATTTCATATGCACCCTCCCCCTCCCACATGGAGAATAATGTCAGAAATAAACAATACATCTTTTTATTTAACATCAACAACACCACAAAAGTATGTAACGTAAGCTGCTAAATAGACAAAAGCACCGCAGCAGAAAACAAACCTCATCAAGTTTCACAGATCCTCCTTGACTGTCCGCCACACTAGGAGTGCTGTCCACTGCGGCAAAGATGGTCTTGGCCGCCTGTTTGGCGAGTGTGGTGTCTGGTATCTGGACCACGATCCTTGTCAGGGTGACCACCGCAAAAGTCACAAACGAGAAAACTCTGCAAGACGAAGGTCAATGTCATCTTGATTTAAAAATGGAGTAAACAAAATTAGAGGTGAAGTGACCCATTTTGGCGCCTGAAGCAAACTTTCTATTTGGCGTCCCTTCCCATATATATATATATATATATATATATATATATATATATATATATATATATATATATATATATATATATATATATATATATATATATATATATATATATATATATATATATATATATATATATATATATATATATATATATATATATATCTATGAATGTATGTCTATCTGCGTGTATAACCTTTATGCATTACTACACCTTTCACGCGATCGCCATGAAACTTTGGGAAGTTATATTGAGAATACTATTTGTAAGGTTTCTGTGGCAAAAAAATAGTATTAATTTCAGAGGGGTAGCGCCCCTGCAAGGTGATATTTAATGCCCGGAGCACCCCGTTAGCTCTATGGCACCTACGTTCGTTTTAAAGAATGCTATGGATACGATGGGCTAATATAATAGTTAAAAAATTAGGCGCGTCTTAAAATTCAGTCTTTCTTCTGAGACTGCAGCAACGCGTGGAATGGGTACACTAGTTATATAAAAAATATTTTAACATATATTACAAAATAATAATAAAAAAAATTACCGTATCATATCATAAAACGGCAACTCCCCCGTCCGAACCAGAAGATATCCACACGCGAACATCACAGAGAAGGAGAAATACGGCAGTGCCAGGAAGAACCCGTACAGGACCCCACTTCCGATGACGTCCGCACTAAATGTGTGTGGCGACTTCTCCAGCTTATTGACGAACATCTGGTAGAATTTCTGCTCAAGTGTCAGGGCGGCCACTGTTCGAACGTTCGAGATGGTTTGGACAGCATGCTGGAGAAATAGACATTCTAATGTAGTAACTTAAACATGACAGGGTTTATTTTGAACAGCATGCTGAATAATAAATAGATTTAATTTATTTCATCCGTATATGATTTGGAAGCAGTCCTATTGACTCTTTTTACTAATTAATTCCTTTAAGACAATTATAATAGAAATACATTTCTGAAATTATTAAAGAGAACATACGCTTTAGTTTCGTCAGGATTTTATGATAAGGGATGTAGCCTAAACTAAACAGAAAATTTAAACAACTTCAACTAAGGGGTAAAAATAACAAAATCTCATAAATTTTCGTCTTTCAACTACTTATATATTAATTCGTATCAAAAACAGAATAAAATAGTTATCCCTTAACTTTAAATACATTGGGAAGAAAATAATTATTTTTCACTTATAAAATGTATTATATGATCATACAATAAGACATATTTCTTCGTCATTTTGTTTTACGCTTTTGTTTATTTTAATTGTAAACAAAGCTCGTAAAACATTATTGTGTATTAGTATTAGAGTTATTATCAGAGTTAGGCTTAATTGCATTGTGTTAGATGGAGATCCAGAGGTCCAAGTTTAAGAGTCAGGGTACTAGGGATTTGCGTCAGGAAAGTGTGAAAAAGAGAGTGTGTTTGAAATTCAGCGCCTTTTTTCGCTCTCCCTAATCCAAAAACCTTGATACGCCTTTTACTTGAAACACTTACCTACCCAGAGGCGTAGAGAGCGCGGGGCGGGGGTGCAAACCGCACCGGGTGATACCCGGCCTAGCGACGCCACTGAACCTACCTCACGTACTTAATGCCACTGTGTGTAAGTCGAACCAAAGTTAAGTGACCAAGCGTGCAATACTAACCTACCACACATTACGTACCGCCATTGGGTGTAAGTCTAACCAAAGTTACGTGACCAAGCGTACAATACTATCCTACCACACATTACTTACCGCCACTGCCTCCTCCAAAGCCTTTTTGGTCTTGTCCGTGATGCGACTGGTTAAAACCATTTGTCCCCACCCGCTGAGTAAACAAATCATTTCATTACACCAATTAAGAGGTTAATATTGTATTACAATGAATTATTAACCTAGAACCACTACCAAAACTGGCAATGTGAGGATTTATCTGTGTCACTTTGTTGGTCTTAAAATAAAAGACTCTGTTTAATAATCTGTTGTTGTTAGAATTATCGAGTGCTCACTTAATTACATTAATTAGTATATATCGTAAAAAACATTTGAAATAAATTAGTGTCCGCATTATTTGTTTTCATTATAATGATTTTAATAATACTCATTTTAGGTTGTAGGTTGTGAACGCAATAAAATGGTGAAAATTTTTGTTTGCGCCTATCATGGTAATTTATTGAAAAAAAAGAAGTTTTACAACGACAGAATACCTGAAAATGACGATAGGTGCGAATGCCACGATGATGAACGCCATCTTCCAGGAGTAGTAGAAGGTAAACCCCAGGGCGATCACGATCAAGGACAATGAGTTGATGGTCAGTCCCATGGCGGAGGTAAAGGTCTGCCACATAAGTCATTGAAATTAAATTAAATTAAATTAAGCTTTTAATGTATTCAATCATTTAATCTACTGGTAAAGCTACTGATGAGGTTATTTTACCTAAGTGTTTAGACAATCCCGGATGACTACTAATTAGATTACTCTAAAACGTCACTAATTTCACAGGTGAGCTACTACAGAGAGAGTGCCATACCTCTTGAACTCTGGAAGCCTCTGTTGCTAGTCTTGTTGTCAGTACCCCAATGGCGTTCCTCGGGTCATCAAACCAACACATTTTCTTTTTTTTTTTAAATTAAAAAAATGATCAACATTTAAATTTGAATATTGTTTTTTTTTCTTTGATTTAACTCTTACTGCTAGTCTTGTTGTCAGTACACCAATGGCGTTTCTCGGGCCGTCAAACCAACACATTTTCTTTTTTTTTTAATTACAAAAATGATCAACATTTAAATTTGAATTTTTTTTTTATTTAACTCTTAAACATCTGATGTTTTAATAATAATATGAGATATTAATTCCTATTTCATATTATTTCTATAGGTATAAAGTATAGAGAGAAATAGCGATTTTTGCAACATACAGATTTCAAGTATCCTAATGCCCAAAATCACTGACGATAGCAGTGTTTTAATCAGATCAAAACTACTGCACCGCAAAAGGATATTTATGCATTAATGAGTTAAAATTTAAAATCTACCTGTCGAAGGGATGACCGGAAAAGTATGTCCCTCAAACGAGTAGTTAGAGATTCCCCTGAAACAGCAAACATGCAGTCCTGCCAAACAAAGGTTAGTGTATCTTTAGCATTTACATGTAAAATATATAACTTTTAACATTAGCTGTAGAGTATGAACGCCTAAACAAAGCATAACCAGATATTTTACGAATAGCTACAATTAACTGAATATTCTTGAAAAATTATATCTACCTAAATTCGGACAGAAGTCAGAGTTATGTGTCATGTCTAATAAATGTCAATATTAAGTTTACGATTTAAACCATATCATTTTGTGAACTGTAAAAATTTCCCGATAAGTTTTTCTCACCTGTACGAATTTCCCGAATAAGTTCAGGATCGCCAACCCGACGACCAGTAGACATAAAGTGTTGATAGAAGTCTCTTGCTCTTGTTTATCGGGGTATGACAAGATCTGTACGAAGTTCAATGTAGTATGTTTAGAAAGTATGTACAGAAACGACACAATTTAAATTACAAAGATAAGGGTGATTGCAACATTTATAAAAGATGTCAAACCTCCTTAAGCAAATCAAATTCGTATAACAGCTAAATATGGTGAAACAAATACATAAGTAACGTAATCAAAGCAACAGTTATGGTTATCAAATATCACTATTGAAACAGTCACATATACACATTGTGATTATTGAAGCAGTCACATATACTCATTGTAACTATTGAAGCAGTCACAAATACTCATTTTGACTATTGAAGCAGTCACATATACTCATTGTGATTATTGAAGCAGTCACATATACTCATTGTGACTATTAAAGCAGTCACATATACTCTTTAACTTTAAGTGGGCATAACGGGAGAGAAAAAGGTTAGATGATACCGAGAATTGTCGTAGTCTACGAGGTTAAGCTTTATGTTAATTATCTTGATTGTAAATAACGACAACGCCCTCAGTATTTGCTCTATCGTGGTCTCAACATGTAGGTACATAACATGGTAACAACCTTAGCGAAATGGGCAAACAGGTTTGACCAAAGCGGCATCACAGCCCCATAGATGATACTGGCCAGTGTTCCAATGAGGATGAAAATCCATTCAGGGGAGTTAAGTTTTATCAAACGTAAGAACATGTGTGTAGTTGACATGGGTTTATTTCCTTGAATGTTTTCTTTCACCTATAAAAACAGGTATTTTATAAATATTCTACTATAAGTACTACTTCATGTAAATGGTCAATACATCAAACATGAAAAAATTGTGTATAAGAAAAGGCTTTTATTTTATTCACAAATTTAAAAAAAAATCACAAATGAAAAAAAAAATGTCTGAAAAAGTAAAACAAATTTATTTTGGTGTAATCTTACTAAAGTTATATGCTGGTGTGACTAAAAATAAAACCAACAACACAAATGGTACAGGGTATTTGGCTAAAATTTGGAGAAAGTTCACACCTTCAAGTAATTTGGCGCCATTCTATCTGATCAAGGAACAAAGCAAGTAGCACTAGCAATAACTGCCCAAATAATCACAGCACGCATTAAGAAGAATGTTTGTGATAAAAAGACATATTTTGGCACAAGATCTAAACTGATTCTGTCACTGGTCATGCTGTCTACTTGTAAGAGTGCGAGGCATGGACCCTCAATGCAGACACCAAGAGACGGACCAAGGCTCTGGGTTGAGATGTGTGTACCGAATCCTTGGGATCTCATACAGAAAATGATCAGAAAATCAACAGGGGTTGATTGATTGATCAGTGAACTACTCTGTCTCATCTAATCCTGTACTATTCTATCTCTGGCCCTCCCAAACGTTTGGGCCTAAGCTCAGTAACTAGTGTTACTCTCTTTAGGTATCTCATTCTGTTTTCCAAATTTACTTCACAGGGGACTGAAGTAATATTTATATGAATACACATTTATACTGGTTCAGAATGGAATTTCAGAAAGTAACTGGTATTAATATATGACAATAAAACGTTTTGATAGAGGGATACATGGGTGGGGGCATTATAAACGCCTGTAAAATTGAATGTCTTTATATTATTAGTTTCAACCACAGATAGATGCAGTACACCTACGTTTCGTCCAGGTGAAATGGTGGTGACGTCAACAGACAACTGTTTAGTGATAAGTTGAGCTGGTTGGTTCTCTGAATGGTCACGCTCTGCTGATTCATCAGTCTGTTTCACTTGAGCCACATTTAATAGGAAAAAAAATATTAAATTTTCAACACTCTAGAAACCTAAACAATAACCAAAAAACCCAAATAAGCAACATGTTGTCTTAAAAATATCTTACTGATATAATAAGTGTGGTAATAACTGCAAACTATTGTTTTAAATGTTTTGAGAGATTATCGAGTTCAAGTAAGTAATTAAATAAATTAGTGTGTACAAATGTATACGATTATTACAAAATAATCCTTGCGATATATGATGTAAGGTATGGTGCAAGTTGAACAGTAAAATTGGATTTTGTTTACCTATATTTACCCAATATAGTGTTATACATATGCATAATAACCAAAAATATTTTGTAATAACATTTTCGCTAATTTAAAAAATAATCTTAGACAAGATTAACTCTTTGATAATATTAATTACGAATATTTTTCTTATTATTCAAAATGTGAACCATGTTGACACAATTAAAAAAAAAGTCTATGCCCCTATTTCGAACAGATACTTACTTTGTTGCGTCTGATAAGCAGCAGAGATAAAATAATCTTTAATAATTAACAACCAAGTGAATAAAATATAACACATTTTAAGTTACTCTCTGTAATGTGAATTGTAAGTGTGACACTTTCAAAAACTTTCGCCTATTAACTTTAACCTACACTAACGTTATGTGATACCCTAACCAAGTCTAAAAATGTGACATTCTTTTTCATAGTCTATAACCGAATTGTAGTGTGCTGACTGCGTTATGTTTAAAAGTCCACTATGCTTGTATGATTGTGTGTATAGTTTGTCGGTTAATTAATACAACTCCACTTGCATGTGTCCATAGTGTTTGTTTACGCACTCTTGGCTTAATAAAACTACTTAGGATCATAAATCTTTAACCATGTCTATACCATAAGAAGGGTGACATAAATGTGATTTACAACAAACGCGTATTTTGAGCAACCAAAGCCTAGGTTATCACAGAAGTATCTAAATGGCAAGCTCTGACCATCGTTAAGAATAAGGTCTGAATATTAAACCATCCTCATAATTGAGCTCTGACCTGTGAAGAAACGAGGCTGTAGTAAACTCCCCTTTTTTCCATCAGCTCCGTGTGGGTGCCCACCTCCACCACTCGACCTTTGGACAGCGTCACTATCTTGTCTGCGTTCCGAATGGTTGACAGTCGGTGAGCGACGATTAAAGTCGTTCGACCTTTGCTGACCTTGAAAATAATTTTACGAAATCAAATAATTATTTTTAATTTAATTAAGTGAGAATATGCTTCCCTATTCATCTTTAGAGTTGTTAATAAGCTGGGTTAACTTACCTTCCCTAAGTATAACGTACACAAGATTAACTAGAATGGATTTGCTTACCCTATCTTGAGCATATAGCATGATTAAACTGTTTTATCTTAAGCATGTATTATGGATTGACTTAACGTATCAAGTACATATAAACATAATTAACTTATTAAATTTTAACCAAATAGAAAGTAGCTTATCTAGAGCATCTTATGAAATAGATTATCTTATTTTAACTTAACCATCTAGGAGGGATTAACTTACATTTACCTAAGCATATTGTATAAACGATTTTCTAACTTTTACCGAAACATTTAAGATCGATTATTTTACTTTATCATAGGCATCTAGGTTCGTCTTCGACCTTTATTCTTAAGCATATAGGATGTATTATCTTACTTTATCCTAAATATATAGGAAGTATTATCTTACTTTATCTTAATCATCTAGGATGTATTACCATGCTTTATCTTAAGCAGAGTTTCTTTCAGGCATCTCTTCGGGGGGCCAAGTCCCCCGAAAAAATTCTACCACCCCCCCCCCCCCCCCGAACGAAATGAAATGTATATATTTTATATAGAAAATATATACTTTTAACAGTGTCCGCCCCCCCCCCCCCCCGAAGAAAGTCTACCCCCCCCCCCCCCCCCGAAAATTTCAAGTGCCCCCCCCCCCCCCCGGAGAAAAAAGTCTGGAAGAAACACTGATCTTAAGCATCGAGGATTTTTTACCATACTTTATCCTAAGCATCTAGTATAAAAGAACGTACCTTATCTAGAGCATCTTGTACGATAGCCTCACTCTCAGTGTCCAGTGCTGAGGTCGCCTCGTCCAGCAAAAGAATTTTTGGGTCCTTGACCAGAGCTCGGGCGATGGCGATTCTCTGTTTCTGTCCTCCACTTAGTTGGGCGCCATGTTCGCCTACATACGTCTCGAATCGCTAAAAGTTATTTAAAAAATACAAGAGTTGCTATTTAATACAAAGCAATTTACATATGTTCGTATTTAAAATAATACTTGATAAGATTACCTGTGGAAGTGCCATAATAAAATCGTATGCGTTGGCCTGTTTGCTGACTTCTATTATTTGATCCATACTAACATCATTTAGACCGTACCGGATATTTTCTGCGATTGTCGTAGCAAAGAGTACCGGTTCCTGGCTGACTAGACCAATGTGCTGACGTATCCATCGGAGGTTCAAGCTCTCAATGTCATGGCCGTCTATTAATATCTGTTGTTACATTAGAAACATCTCATCAACTTTTTAAATACCATTTTTTTAGTAAGGATAATTTTACTTGATACTTCACATTTGTTTAACTTTCCAGTGATATGTGACCTCACATAAATGTTTACCTGACCAGTGTGATACGTTGTTACATTAGTGTCTAACTGACCAATTGTGATTTCCAAGAAGTATTTACCTTGCCAGTGGGGTTGTAAAAGCGCAACAAGAGTTGTATGATTGTAGACTTTCCTGAGCCACTAGCCCCAACCAAAGCAACTGTTTGACCTTTAAGTGCATGGAGGTCAATGCCACGCAGAACCTACGGAGTTCCCAAAAGCAAGAATTTATATCATGGCTTTTTCTTTTAACTGATTAGCAAAGACCATTATGCCTCACTTAACTACACAGACACAAAAAGAAGCAAAAAAAAAAAAAAAAAAAAACAAACAGCAACTTAAAAACCTTATTTATGAAACGATGCATGAGTTTGAAAATAATTATTCTATAATCAGATAATCAGTTATTTTTCATTTAAAAACTCAGCAGATATATTAAATTAATATATGTTTACGTCCTGTTTAGTTACATTATTAAAACATTTTCATTGTTTGCAAATTATTAACTTTACGTATTTTGCAGATTATTGATATGTTGAAAAGATTTCTTAACGCCAGTTAGAATTTTGTAAAAAATAAATCATTCACTATAAATTTGTTTTTATTTTCAATATGTAAATAGTGAACGATGTCGTGGTACCTGAAAAGAGGGTCTTGATGGGTAAGAGAAAAAAATATTTCGGAACAAAATTTCTCCATTTACTTGTGCCGGCATTTCACCTTCTGCTGAGCTGCTGTCACACAACGATTTCTGCAGACATTTTAGATAAATGGTAGAATAGAGTATAATCAAAGATGTCCTAATTTTGAAGTAAAAAGCACACAATTTTGAATTAACAAATAAAAGTAAAGGAGGAGCAAAGATATTAGCATGGTGAAGAATACATTGAAAACATTTAAATAGATTGTGTAACAAACACTTAAAATAAATGGCAAATTTTTTTTTTGAATGAAATCTTCTATCACAATTAGATACGTATCTAAATCGCACCTTAATTTATAATGTACTAACGTGTAGTCGACCTCACCTTGTCGATAATTCGATAAATCTTGACTGCCGCAGCCATTGCAACGTAAATACCGTTTGTTGCAGGTATAGCATAACCCAAATACACAGCACTGATAAAGGTGGAGAAGAACACCTGAAATAGAGCGTTAGGCTGCAATCTTGTACATCAATTTTTGATTAATTTCTAATCGTTTGAAAATTAAGATACATTTTGTTTTTTTACTACCGAACGATTGTTCTTTAGTTAAGATACGTTGATTTATGAAACTTCTGTTATGTTGGCAGAGCTTGTGGTCAATTGATTTGGACTTAATTCTACAATAATTGGTCTTTTCAACTAACATCCAGATTTAAAAGCAGAACATGTAGGCCTACTGAACTTTTAAAAAAGAAACCGTCCTCAAAGATGTCATGGACATTTTTAAAATTTAAAGAGTCTGAGCAACAGACAACTCACCACAACTGTAGAGCTCACTGTGTACTCGTCACTCCTGATCAGCTGACCGCCGTAGTAGAAGCCTAGCGAATAGCCAAAGAAAATACTGCACCAAAGCATACCTTGTCCTATACCATTTGCAATTCCTCTTTCTACTCCGAATTTTCGGGCGTGATTTAGGTTTTCATAATATCTGGGGCAGAATATTACAACCGTTAGTCAAATGTCAAGAATATTCATTCAACAAATTAACTAAGTGTTTCTGAAGACACGTATACAAACAGCACTAAATTTTTGCATATGTTGCCTAACCTCTTGGCCTCCTTTTCCTGACCACCAAAAGCCACGACTGTCCTTATGTTGGAGATGGCTTGTTCAGCCACAACCCCAGCCCTGGCGTAAGCCTCTCTCTCCTTCATGGTGGTTTTACCGATACTCTAATGATGGGAATAACAGAGATATTACTCATTTAATAATCGAACGTCAATTTTTATCACACTAGCCTGTTCCCACAGCCAATAGGCTGCATGATTCACTTAAATAACTGATGATGTGTCATTTGTTGTGGCGATTGACCATACGACTCCCCCTGTTGGTCACTTAACTCGCGCTGTGGGCCATATAGCTCACCCTGATGACCACATTAATCACGCTGATGACCACAACTCAACATAATGGCCCGCATAACTCAACTTATTTACCACTCAACTCACCCTATTAGCCACATGACCCACAGTATTAGCCACATATCAACCTTTTTGGCTTACCCAGTTGGCTGCTGCTGCTCCACCAATGATAACGGGGTAGGCACACAATACGACCAATGTCAGCTTCCAACCGAAGATGAAAGTGATGATGATGCTGACTATACTACAGGCGAACCACTGTGAGGCCATTGGGAGATTTGTTTCTATAGCTCTATATATTAGATTCACGTCCCTGGGAAGTATGTATAAGCTGTTTGCTACTTTGTTGTACTAAATAGTTAAGGTAGCACTTAATCTTAATCAACATTGATTATTGGTTTAACTAAACCTTCTCTGCCATTCTACCAGTAGGTCTGCTGATATGGTATATTGTGTAAGTAAACTTACTCTGTGATCCTACCAGATTTGGTATATTAATTGTGTAACAAAACCTACTCTATCATCTTAACAGATTTGATATATTAATTGTATAACAAAACCTACTATGTCATCCTACCACATTTGGTATATTAATTGTGTAACAAAACCTACTCTGTCCTCTTAACAGATTTGATATATTAAATGTGTAACAAAACCTACTCTGTCATCCTACTTGATGTGGTATGTTAATTATGTAACAACACCTACTCTGTCATCCTAACAGACAAGTCTCCCGTCTTGTGGTCATCAAACCAGGCAATCTCCTGGACAAGGATGTTTGAGAAAAAAGATTTCCTCAGTCGGATCACTTGGCGCTGGGCTGAGACCGTGAACAAAATTTTCTTGGTCGCTCCACACACCCACGCACACACAGACAGACCTGAAACACGGGCGGAGGGGTGGGGAGGGATCAACGGGACGTACAGTTCTATAGTTACATCGCATAATATCGAGCCTCGAGCAGTGATGTAAACGTCATCATATTTGCCCAGGGATGAGACAGCTCAAGGGAATAACATAAATGTTATCTCAGTCATTTCTAGCCAGTATATAGGATGTTTACTCTTATAAACAACAGTTTGTTTTATAAACAAGAAAGAGATAAATTCTGAAGTATAGATTTGTATCAGACTTACCAAGACTTAGAAAAAAAAGAATTTGGAAGTTTTCGAAATTGTCAGATTGTGAACCTTGAGTAGAAGTGCTGTCATTTGTTACAAGTTGGCTACCATTAGCGACGAGGAAGCTTTGGTTGTCATACCTGAGGGGGGGGGGGGGGGGGGATTATATTGGAAGTAAAAATATAATTGATGACCCCGTAGATTAAAATAAAATTAATTTGTTGCAGAGTAGGATAGGAACCTTGTGAAACGGTAACTTACGTGAGCCCGTTAGAGTGTGAGGAGGTCCTGTTTACAGAATTAACCTTAGCGACGTTGTCCAAATATCCCTGTTCAACCAGTGAGCCAACAAAATGACCGTACAGGACCATGTTTAAAATGTGCAGAGCACCATTGATTGCTGCCAGTATAAAGCCTATCACCATCATGACGATGTCCCTTGTGTCGGCAAACCGAAACTAAACAATGGAGGAGAATAGTCCAGTTAATTATTGTAAGAATATAAATGGGAGATTGATGATTTATAGTACATCACAAACAAAATGTCTAGGAAACATTCAATAATATAGAATTTTTGTGTGTGTGAAAGATACAAATGAATTTGAAAATATAATATCGACATTCTAAATTGTTTTATTAAAACTAGCCGGCCAGTCTCAGCACTGGCTTTTCTGAAAAACGTAGCTGTAAAGAACCGTGAGTTATCGTATACCCGGGTATCGGGTGATCGGGTTTCGGAAATTAATTAAATTTCCAATTATTGTCTATATGCAAATAACTACATTTGGGAGATATATGTAACTTTAAAACGAACCCTAAAACTAACCCTCACCCCACCCAACCACAACCAGAACCAAAACCACAAACATAAAGGTAAACAAATACATAGAGATAAATCCTTTCAACTTCTCGGAGTTCCTCGTCTAGAAAAACAACCACATAAACACAAACAGAAACATAAACATATACCACAACCTTCACCATTGCCTCAATAACAACATAAACAAAAACAGAAACATATACCATAACCTTCACCACTGAAGGTTATGGTATATGTAGATAGATTAGGCGTGCGATCTGCCACTCCGGGCTATTCTGTGAGCATAATAATGACAACGTTCGTTTTAAAGAGCACCCTACTATATTGTTACGGTGGCACATGATATTCAATGATTAAACCGAACAAGAGGTCGTACGCGGCGCCCTTGCGGTAGTGTGACCGAGGGCTCCCAAGTGCGCCCCGCGACGTCCATGACACGTGGGCAATCGCCGAAGTGTGTTCTACTTCACCAGTACGGAGTGATTAACGTACACTCTAGGCTTTCATTCAGCACGCCCTATGTTGTGTTGTGCTGTAGTGTGGGCAAGACCGTGCCTCAACAAATATGATCCAAAAAATATAGCGCATGCATTTTTACATTTAAAGGACTCAATGTTAGAAAACAAGATCACATGTCTATGAGTATAGGATTTATAATGCAATGATGAGACCCTCCTAAAACATTACTTCAGACTTCCTTCTGAGATCGCGGCAACGCGCGGGGATGGGTACGCTAGTATTATATATAAAACAAATATATGTGCTGGATGGCTTACAACTGGTGTATGGTGTAAAGACTACTGCTGCTTATATTATTTTGGTGAAAGTCAAGTGGACAGCAGTTTAGTAAATATTTGAGTCTCAGTCTACTATTACAAATGACAAGAATTTTATCGGTTTAAACATATTTAAATCAGACGTTGCATGTATTTTCTCATGTACGGAAATTATGCGTTCAGATGTTATTAGCATATATATGTAACGACGATGCTGATAACAAAAAAAATGTGCAAAGAAGAAAAAAAAAACAATAATAAAAATAGGTTCATAGGAAAGTTCTCTATATGGGTGTCGTTTTATGATGTTTAATTTATAATTTTAAACTCTTATTCTCTGACATGCGAATTCAAATAGACTCACATAGACACAGGCACAGACACAGACATAGATGTAGGCATAGGCATAATTATACATGTGTGAATGCGCGCCTGTGTGTCTCTGTTTTCATCGATGGTTGTGCATGTGCGTATGTGTATGTGCTAGTTAAAGTGCAGGCGCTAAATCTCACTGTATAAAATGGTAGGTGAAAATTATTACCAATACCAAACCTACTTGTAAAAACAGTAGAATTGCCAGTGTTGTTTTAAAATTGATTACAAGTACCAAAACTGTTTATGAAAAACTGAAAACTCGTACCAGTTCAGAAAAGCTGACCTTCTCATCATTGTTGCTTAAAAGTTTGTAAAAATTCTTGAATTTTCTTTTACTCGAACTATCTTTTCCCAAGATTCGAATTTTCTCTGAAGGTTTGCTGGTTTGAAAATGATTGGACGTTCCTACAAAGGAAGCAAGATTAATTTAGTAGCTGTTTTTTTAAAAATTTAAACAATGTTCAGTGCTGAAAATAGTTTGATTTCGATGAATATGATCCAGTACCAAAAATAGTATAAATAAAGAAAATATATAATACCTTTTTGACGATCGGTTCTCCCCCCCATGTTATCACTAAAATGGAATAAATCATATCTTGTGTAAGTAAATGACACTCTTTAAATAAATAAATAAATAAATAAATAAATATATATATATATATATATATATATATATATATATATATATATATATATATATATATATATATATATATATATATATATATAAGTATGTCTGTTGGGAAGGGGAGGTTGTTGTTAAAATATTATTTGTGCATTTAAAAAAATATATTTGGCTATCTAAGAATAAATACATTGCATTGGGTTATCGGTCTTTATTATTTTAACCTTAACAAAATATTGCCCTTAAAAGGCGATAATCCGATGCAAGCAACCTATTTACCTGCTAAAAGTTGTTAGCCATACATAAGACGGCTGTTGTTGAGTTTTCAATGAAGGAATAGTCTATGTGATTGATAGCTCTATTATTAGCCAATAAAACACATATACATAATTTAAATTAATTCTGTTATACAGTTTTAAATGTTTAGAATTGTTCCGTTTTATTTACTTTAATACTTGGTTTGTATTCACTCTGTGACAGCCAATTCATTAAAAAAAAAACATCAACAGGTAGATGACCTTTTTAGATAAAATCTTTTCGCCTGTTTTCCATTGCCTGTCATTTATTAAAATAATATAATTTCTTCAAATGGCCAGTTTTAACAATGTATCTAGATTATAAAGCGTAGCCTACTGGGTTCAGTTTAATATAAAGTTATTCCTACGTTTATGACAGTAAATATATTTTTTTTAAATCTGTTAGTGCTTGTTCTTTAAATACCATCTACTATGGCTACTTTCTATGCTCTATTACATGATAGCAAATATAACCATTTAGGTAGCCCGAGGTCGGCTAGCCTGCTACATTCTGACAGTGGCTGCCTATAGCTAGTGTGTCTGTTTATTATGTTAATTATGCGGAATATTAAGTTGCTTGTCAACATACATCGATTAAAACAACATACTTTTTCAACAGGCCTATCACCATCCAAAAATTTACAGCAATTTTAGTTGTTTTTTTTTTTGAGCTAGCGAGCGGTTATTCCACATGAACAGCGGGATAATAAGAGAAACTGATATCAAGTAGGTTATTCCACATGAACAGCGGGATAATAAGAGAAACTGATATCAAGTAGGTTATTCCACATGAACAGCGGGATAATAATAAAAGAAACTGATATCAAGTACGCCTACGTTCATCGTTTTACGAACAGAACAATGATGCACACACCTAACGCAGTGAGGCTACTGATGTGAAGATTATTTTATCTAATAAACTCTAAAACTAGCGGCTTCATGACCTGAAAATGTAACTCACCTACCGAGACTATCTTCTGATGTATGGAAGTATGTTGTAGAGCGTTGGCGAATTTCATCAACGTTTCATCCACATAATTATGCCTGGACACGAAGGTATTTGAATTCACAGAGGCGTGTAGAAACATGCGGGTTCAAAGAATTACAAAACCATTATAATTTTCGAGACGCCATTGATGCGTCCACTGACGAACAATTTTATTTTTTACTAGTCGTTAGCGGCTTGGCGTTGCTCCAGCCATTTGTAGCCATTTTAAAATAATTTTAATGTTAACACAGATATCTTTGTTTACCAAATGTTTTAATAAAAAATAGAATTGCATAAAGCCATACTCAGAACAGCAACGCGTACCCTTTGATGTGATTCTGACTTGCACAGAACCTACCATCCCTTAATAACAATGTCCATTACACAAATATAGTAACCATCGGAGTCAAATAATTAAACAGAAAAGCTCTAGTTACTTACTTTACCTCTACATACTCTACTCCCCCCTTATCATTAATCTCTCAATTACCACACTGTCACTGCGTAATAACCACTCTGTACAATACCTATTATAAAAATACCTATCCCTCTCTTTCCCCATAGACATCTTCCTACTTGGACTTAATACGACAAAATAATAATATGTACATGTTAAGGGGAAATGATCCGTTTTTTTTTTACAATTTAAGCAGTGTTTCTCCCAGTTCTCCAACACTTTTTTCTCCGGGGGGGGGGGGGGGGGCACTTGAAATTTTCGGGGGGGGGGGGGGGTGGTAGACTTTCTTCGGAGGGGGGGGGGGGGCTCGAAGAGATGCCTGGAAGAAACTCTGCTATAGCGTTTTGAGTACTTTTACCATGTTTGGCACATGAAAATAAGTATTAAACAGCAAAAAAAGGGCTAGAAACAATGTTGGTTGTCATGCAAACCCTAAAAAAAAACAACAACGCTATTTTGAATTTTTCGGTACTATTAAAAATGCTAGGGCTTTTTATTTATGCACATATAGCAATCGAATTTAAACTGCTAATATTGCAGTATATATTAAAACTTTTGTCACAACTTTTTGAAATAGCTACTAGTAAGAATTTTACAAGGTCTAAAAAATTGTACCCTTTTTAGTATTCAAAAGTTTCAAAATATGCATATTATTTAACACGTATTTTTTTTATTAAAGCCATTACAATTGCCTCATGACAAAAGTTGTATGTTTGCACTAAGAAAAATTACTTACTGAAAATATGGTAGGCATTGTTTAATAAATAAAAAATTAGTAGGCTTTTTAGTGTTAAAAACATGCTAACGTAGAAAACCAGCCAAAAGTAACGAAAAGTAGGTCATGAAAATACCATATCTCTGAAAAATGCAAAGCCGATTGTAAGCTTTGGGTGTTTGAGAGATGACGGAAATTAAGATTATCAAATACATGAGAAATGCAGATTTCCAATGATGCCAAATATAATATGATGACGGATATAATATTTTTTTGTAGAGAGCTTGTAAGAGTGGGAAAAAATGATTATTTTTTAGCGCAATTTCCATTCTGGAGAATTGCGTTTATTAACCCGTCATTTCTGGATGTATGA